AACTTATTCATAAAATTCAAAAGTATGGGATTTTACTGCAGGTATTTAAAACCAAAAAATCCATATTGTAGTTCACTTTTGTTTTATATTGTGAAGTACGAAGTTAGTATTATTTCTTCCTTCTATTGCAGGCATCTGTTGGCATATAATAACTAATGTATATTGTCATTACACACCCATAACTTCTATTAATAATAACTTACAAGTTTCCTACTTATCTTCAGTGCAATCGTCTTGTCAAAACTTAAACTACAGTATATGATGTAACTCAACAGTCACATGATGTTGGATGTACAAAGTGTTTATTTTTGATTAGCTTGACATAGAGTTATGTTAATTATTTTATATAGGTGGCACCAATGTATGCTGAGATACAGTATGTAAATACTTTACTGCTGAGTTAGGAGAGGAGTTAAAGAGTCAATAGTTTTTAGTTAGTGCCACATAGGTTTCAATATATGGGTGTCAAGTTTAACATGTAAAGTGAGTTTGTGTTTGTGTGTTTAGGAATGTGATTGTCTTTGCCAATTAGCATGTGAATGTCACTTGGCTAGTATTCATGAATTGTCCTTTGTCTTGTATGTTAATAAATAGCTCTTGGGAAAATACTGTGTCTATTAATCTAGGTAAGGCTATATTCAACAGCCTAGTTGCCCTGTTACAGAAAAAGATTGTCACAATATATATTTATGTCAAACTGAGAATCTGTATTTTTACATTCACATTTATGGTTTATTTTGTTTAACTACACTTTGGTATGAAAAACAGGTAAATATTCCAACTGTAGATATTGATGTTGTTTGTGGTTACACAATTAGTTTTACTGACAAAAATCTATAAGTACATGTAGTCCTGAACTCCTGCTAAAGTTTTATGATAATATCTGTAACCTTATGAGATCCCTCGTTATTCAGTGATTAACTTTAAGATTTATATAATGCTAAGTTTTTGGTTTTGATTGTCATGGTGTACACAGTGCAGATTGCGCATTGTCAAGCTTTGTACTGAAAACAAATCATAACCTAGGAAATCTTTGCCTATGTGTAGCAATTAAAAATATTAATTGGTCTGTTTATTCTTTGATATGAAAGTGTGATTGCTGTCAATTAATACAGTTTTAAACTGTCTAAGTTAGATCTCTTTGTACAATAGTTATTTTCAAAATGGTTTAATGTTTTTGAAATTAGCTTTCAAGAAATGGAATACAAGTTCAGATTCAAAAATGGTTTACCTGCAGAATACAAGTTAAAAAAAAAAGATACCCATGGAATATAAGTTTAGATTTAAAGAAATGATACCTGTGGAATAAAAATTTGAATAAAAAACAAGTATAAATATTAAAAATGTGTCTATGAACCTAAGCCCTAAGCAAATTGCATTGAAAAGCATAGAAATTAATGTGGTAATGGTATTATGCAAAGATCTACTTATAGTGATAACTTTTGAATGCATCATGAATTTGATTAAGTTTGTGTATTACAAATACTTAAATAATTCCTTCCATAATCATACCATGTGTAGTTCAGTTGTTGTGAATTGGTGATTATCGTATTATTGTGTCATGTTTTTCTCATTAGTTTGAGTATTATTGCATCATAATATCTCATAGTGTGTGGAACATTCTTGGCCTCATTCATGGTGTGAATACGTGTCCAAAATGTAGTTCGAGAGAAAAGACATAGCTAGTTAGATAGATAAATAGATCTAGATTGAGTGACTGTGAGTATAGCCATAAAAGGTGTATAGTGGCAATTTCTAAAGTGAAATTATCACAGATTGTATTGTAATAACAGAGTAGAGAAGAAATAATTTGTCTTGTCAATTGTGTTCTAAAGTAACTGAACCAACCTGTGTGGACTTTGACGAAAAGAGACAATTATTTAAAGCTCTGGATACAACTGTGGGAACCAACAGTTTAACGTAAGTGAAATTATCACAGATTGTATTGTAATAACAGAGCAGAGAAGAATAATTAGTTTTGTCAGTTGTGTTCTAAAGTAACTGAACCAGCCCGTACCAAAAGAAATGATTATATAATGCTCTGGATACACCTGTGGTAATTAACTGTTTAACAAATATTTGTATATATGTTTGAATTGTTTTAATATAATATTTTAACACAAGTGGGCTGTGTGCTGTTTATTTATTGTTGAAATTTATTGCCAACAAGTCACAGACACATACTGTAAATAATATGGCCCATGCATAAAAACCTGATACATACACACAATTTTAAGGCTTATCTCTGCTATGTTAGCATACTCATTATGGCTTAGTTGGCTTTTTTTTAATTGCACTGTGTTCTCTTGTATGCTTGGGAGAAGAAAGCGAAACATAAGTGGGGAATCCATTGCAAATGAACTTCCTTCTCTAAGACGTATAATTGGTTCTTCCATCTTCTTCTTATGCATTAATGGTTTTCTGTTTCATCCTTGTATTAAAGATTTATATGTAATCATATGAGGCTTACATAACATTATTGTGATTTTAGCTTATTAGGTACTTTACCAAACTGTGTAACTTTTAATGACCCTTGCATTTCTGGGTACTTCTGCCTAAAATAAGAGGACAAAATGAATACAGCATGACCTAGTATCAGGCCATGTATTGCCAACATTTTTTAGTTTCCTCATTAAATCATTACATGTAAACAGTATGAAGTATTATATTTATTTCAATATTTTTTTTATTATGTGTGATTTATTCACAAAAACCTAATTTTATACTTATGAAATTTCCTAATGATATGTTTCTTTCATAAATTTCATTATAGTAATTGATATATAAAATATACCATTTTTCTTTTCTTTTTTCCTGAAAACACAACTTTCTTTAATGTAGTTGACTAATTTTTTAACAACTTTTTTATAGTACGATTCTGACAATGATGGGTGGATCCCACTGGATGAACTGAAAAGGATTCTCCAGTCAGATCCATCTGAGATCAGCTCTGATTTTCCTGAAGATGTTTTGGATGAAATTTTGGAAAGAGCTGACTGGGACCACAATCGAATGCTGAGCTATGAGGAGTTTCTTCGAATGGTAGGAATCTTAAAGTATGAAAGAATAATAAAAACAAATATTGACCAGAGATACTCAAATAGATTAAAAGTCAATTAACAAGAAACTTAAGCAATGTTAGAGATTTTTTTCATGTGTAATGAATTTTTATTTGTTAAAAAAAGTTTAATCTGTGTAGAAAAGAACATTATGACCAATTAAGATTAACCTTGATCCTAATAATAGATAAATTTTTTTGTTGGTGGTGGTCCTTTATTAAGAGTTAGATAAGTTAATAACTGTCACAATGTTTAATTATTATCAAGTCAAACTGAAGAGTAATTCCATTTATAGTTCCATTTGCCTTTTCTGTAGTATCGAAACAAGACCAAAAAATTGGTTTACTAAGTAATTTGAAGAATTTTCATTCATTGATTTTTTTATTATCAATTCAGTGTAACAATCAAAAGTATTATTTTGAGTTGTATTGATTGTTTTTTGTTATTGTTTATTTTGGAGGGGAAGAGATTTTTATATACCTGCAAGGCTTTGTTGAAAAACTAACATATCTTTACATAAATTAACTTTCAGAACAATGTAAGACTTTTTCAGTTTTTCGGTAATGACCAGTAAAGCATGTTAAATTAAATTTTATGAAGTTACTTAACTATTTCAAACTAGATTAATCACAAGAATTTCTGCTTTTGTAGAATTATATATGTAGAATAACAGCTGTTTAACATTTACAAAGTTAGCTTGTGTTTCGACCTGAAAGCAGTACCAAAATATGTGTTGGGTTTGTTTATTGTGACTTAATTTGTAAAGCTTCCCAATAGCTATTTCATTGGTTATACTGTGTATAGTGTGCTTAAAAAAAAAACTTGTTTGGATACAAGGCATTGGAGTGATACATATTATAAATTGGCTTTTTTTTTTCTTCTTCTCACTACTTTGAAGGAATGACTAGTTCGTTACTTTATAGAAGTCTTTAAAATTTGTTTGGTATGACTGGAGAATGCATATTTTTATTGGATAAAGCTTTTTTTAAAAACTAACTGTTCAAGTGTAGTTAAAAGATGTTCAAATTTAACAGTGTTCACCTAGAGGGAATTTCTTCAAACTACAAGAATAATACTTTTTACTACAGAACATTTTTGTGACAGTAAACTGTTAGTCATTGATAAGTGTTTTGTAGTCTTCAATTTTGTTTGGTTACAGAGCTACCGAATAGAAAATCAGACCCCTCCTGCCACACCCTCCTCTCTTTCAGAATTCATTGATAGTTCTCTCTTACGTTTCATTATATATTACCTATAACCAATAGAAAGGTAAGGTTTTCATCAATGAAATGACATATTGTATAATGTTATGTTCTGAAAAGTTAGATGTCAATTTCACTCAATGAACCAACATTGTTCCCATGAGAAAGTTAACGACTAGCTTGGATGAATTTGTAACGGTTCTTGTCACATAGTAAGAAAGCCAGAAAAATTTTGAGAGGTAAAGGAATTTGTCTACTTTTTGTTATAAGTCTATATTGTTTGGTGCATTATTTGATTAAATAAAAATTATTAAGTTCATTACTAGCATTAGTATAATAAATTAGGGTTAACTCTCTTCAAAAACGGACAGCAAGAAAAAAGAAGATTGGTTAAGTATTTTATTTCTCTTTTTTTTTCGTGTTTATTCTTTATGTATAATTATAAAAGTAACTCAAATGTAAAAATAGGGATCCTTTTAGGTTTGTTAAGATTAGATTAGGCAGAATAAATAATAATATTATTATAAAAATGTTTCACGAGGCACACACATGAACAGCTCGTGGATAATGTAATTCGTTATCGTAACTTAAGCTGCACGTTCCCCGAGTGATTTACAACTTATAATGGCACGGATAGTAGTTAGACACGGTTCAAAGGGCAATAAAACAATAAAATTTAATTATAAATAGATGTTTACTGTTATGAACATAGAGCTATTTAGGATAAAAGAATGTAGTTTCATGTTATGATCTGAAGTCATTCTAGAAAGAAAAAAGGGTAATTTAGGTTTACTTTCAATTTTATTTGGTAGTTACGAGGTCGGTTGAATTGACCAATCCCGTTTTGAAATAGGGTAGAGAAAACAACAGATAAACTATAAAGTTTTATTAAAAAAAAACCTTTGAAATGCATTCAGGAGTTTTCATGATTACACAAAGGAAATTTGAGATGAAGAAAAGTATTTTTAATTTTAACATAAAAATTACTGTGCACATGGACTATTCTAAACAAATATTCAATATATTCATGGACAGATCTTTATTTTATTATATTTTTATTAAAAATACTTCACTAAAACATGTGATTTTTTGTATGTGAAAGACTTATGATATTAACTGAAAGACTGCCAAATTTTGTGAAGATATACACACTATATTGAAAGTTAGAAGTATTAAATCTATAAAGACTTTAAACGAGTGCAAAGAGGTCACGTGGTCGGTCAAATTGACCGAGCCCATATGGAGAGAGTTAACTGGTTTTATAAATGTAGGTATTTACAATTTTAGCTTCTTTTTTTTTTTTTTTGTAGCTAAATATGTCATTAAATAGAGCCACTAATACATCTATATGTTAGAGAAAGAGCAGTCCTTAAAGAAATTGCATATTTTTATGAGAAAGGATAAATGATTGCTTAATGTTTTTGTCTTTTAATGAAAGTTATGTTCATTAATCACCATATCTAATACTTTACACGTAAGGTTCATGCCATGGAGTTGGGCTCTGCCAGACCAAAGTTTCAGAGACTCGTGAGGTTTGCAGCAATGGCAGTAGTACCGAGAACCGAACGAGCTACCACAGTGCGAAGATATCTGGAGCAGTACAGTTGTATGCCTCCTCCACTGTTTATGATTGTAGCTAGTTTGGGAGAGGTGAGAAAATGGAAAATTGAACAAAAGTATCATAAAATACACATAATATATGTCTCTTTCATTGATTATTATTATAAGTATTCTGAGTGAAAAGGAACATTTACACAAGGGATCTAAAAGAATATGAACGATATGGGCCGTATTTTTAGGGTAACCTTTACAAACTTAAACTTCATAAGCAGACTCAAGAAATGGTAAATAATTATTAACTTGACACAAATTACTCATATTTTTCTTAGACTATTTTTTATAGTTATTTAAATAAGAAGTTTGTGCTGTATTAGAAACAAACCCTTTCATTATTAGTGGTAATGTTATGGAAGGTAATACATTTAGGTTATTTTATGTTGGTAATATTTTTAATGGTTTTTATCTTTTTAGTTGGGTGTTTTTATTTATTACTGTGCAAAACTGAAAGAACTGAGTGCTGCTGGTCCCGTTCCCATCGAAAGCTCCCTTATCTACAATCCTTACCGTCGCAACGAGGCCTGGAGATTCATCACGTACATGCTTATTCATGCTGGGTATGGTTTAGGCTTATCACGTGTACGAGACATTATTTAGATATTATAATGTGTTGAATCAAGCCAGATACTTCAGATTTTAAAAATGTACTCTTGGTCCTGAAAGAGAGTGACTCTTGAAAATAATATATATATATTTGTACACATAGTATATAACTATGTTCAATTCTTAACTTTTATTGTTCTAGCTATGCCTCAAGACTGTAATAACAACTTGAACTAACTGTGCAAAATAAATATCATAGTGGTAAATATGATTTAAAGAATAGGAAAGAAAATTAAAACAGAGAGAGAAAAAAAAGTATTCCATACTTTTTTTTAGTAACCGTTATCACAATTAAACTAATAGCACTGTTTCAAAGAAATAATTAACCATAAAAAGCATCCTTTTAAGATTATTACAACTCTAGTAGTCACTGTGTAATACATATAATTGCAAGGTAATATTTTATTGTTTTTAACTATAAACATATAACAGTTCTATAGAATAAATTAGTGGTACATATATATATATATATATACTTTAG